GGTCTAGGCGAACATCTTTTCAAGCCCACTGTTTTAGATCTGGACTGAACTGGAAACAGTATTCATACAGAATGAATGTTCTGCTACTTAGCTTTAGCCTTATGCAATTATGTTTTTTTATCTTTGATTTAAAAACTACTACAGTTTAAAGAACGCTATTCAGTGTTTATATGTCTGCTATCCACCCATAGACTCTCTTCAGTCCGAAATCCCAAACAGTTTGTAAAACAACAAAACATTGAAAACAATCACTTGGGGAAAACAATTAATAATAAAAAATAATATTATTGAATTATCAATAGAATTATTAAACAACAAAATTAGATAAGCAGGTATATTATTCTTGAGATAGGGCTTCACAACCCTATCTGACTTCAAATTGCACAAGGTCCAAAAGAAATGCTCAGGGAATATTTAAGGGGCTATTCAAGAGAAGGTAGGAACATGTTGAGATATAAGCTAATCTCAAACTCATGCTGATTTAAATCTCTGAGTTGTATTTGAAAGCCAGCAAACTAGTTTCACAATTGGCAAGAAATTTATTTATTTATTTATTTATTTACCATATTTATATACCGCCCCTCTCAACCCGGAGGCGGTTTACAGTTGGTAGTCAATGCCCCCAAACATTGCATCCAATATAAACCACATAAAAGCAGTAAAACAGTAAAAACCATAAAACACAAGTCCTCAGCGTCTCGTCATTAAAATCATTTTTCCATCGCATCATCCAATTGTTCCATGGATCTCAATTAGTCTGTTACACTGCTTCTGCAAATGCCTGCTCAAACAGCCAGGTTTTGACTCTCTTTCGAAATGTTAGGAGGAAGGGGGCCGATCTAATATCCCTAGGAAGGGCATTCCATAACCAAGGGGCCACCGCTGAGAAGTCTCTGTCTCTCGTTCCCGCCAATCGAATCTGCGAAGGGGGTGGGACCGAGAGCAGGGCCTCACCAGACATCTTAAGCACCTAGATGGTTCATAGGGAGAGATACGTTTGGACAGGTAAACTGAGAAATCGTCAACTTGCCGAGTCCCCAGCCTATAATTTCATTGCAGTGAGATGAAGCCTCCAGTTTTCAGTGGTAGCTCTACCTACATGGCATTACAGTAGTCCAAATGATCTATTAGCAGGACACTGATCATTTTAACCACTTGGTATTTTCGGAGCTACAGTTATACTAGCAGTTACAGTGGGGGTCAGCTGGCCAGTAAGTTTCGTGGTCAAAATGGGGGGAAACCCAGCCACTCAGAATCCTGAGATATATTTCTATAAATAGTAAATGGGCCTGGCATTTTCACCTCTACGTTTTTAATTCCTAATACAATAACATAGCACTATTATATGTCTAATAGCAGATATAAAGTATGTATGGGTGGTGTATCTCCCATAAAATAGCCTTTAGCCTTAATTCGAATCCATTGATTCCTGTTCCAGTTAAACCTGTAGAATGTAATATGTCTTTTAATCCTTTTATTGTAAGCTAGGATAAAATTAATTTTACACTAGGAGTGTGCAAAGCCAATTAACATGATCTTTAGAGTTATTTAGTAAAGTGCTTCAAACTGTTAAATTTACCCTGACCTCTTGGTTGCACTCCCTGACTGCTTTTTAAATGAAGTAATCAATATCTTGCAACCTTTTAAACAGCTTAAACTTTTTCATATTTTTAACCTATATTTTATTTAAACAGATTAGGAAGAAAGAATGCACATCTGTGCTCAAAAACCGCTGCTCTAAAACCATTTCAATTTAGTTTCCGCTCTGGACTTGTTTTGAAATCTCTTTTTTTACATATGGATCCAAAGTGTCCACTTTTCTAAAACCAAGCAAATAATGAAGAAATCTGTCACTTCCATTTACTTAGTGCATAGAAAATCTGCAATCTCTACAACTTAAATGCAGAAACCTTCCCCCTTCCTCAGTGTAGCTTCTGTTTTCCACATAGGGCTATTTGAGGTTATTAATTTTCTCACTGTGATAGGGTGATCAACCGTCTTGTCAAGAAAATGGATCTTCATGTCACCCTTTAGCATGATTAAATGGAGGCACATCACTGTGAGAAAATACCAAATTTTCACGAGACAAATGAAACTTGTACCGAGGACAACTTTTATAGACGTTATTTCATTTTAAAATCTCCCATTTGACTGTCAGTTTATTTGTTGCAAAGGGCTGCCATTAATTGCTTGTTCCTACTAATAACTCAAAACACACAGTAAAGGGAAAACAACAACAACAAAAATCTCAAGTAATTTTCTATCTGAACGTCTCTCGTACACCAAGAAGTTGTTCACTGTGTTTCTATGGATAGAATTCTACTTACATAAACCATGATGCTAATTAGTCTCTCTAAAACTGTTATTTATTTTTTCCTAGTCCATTACCACTGACCTTTCCAGCACAAAACATTTGTGGCTTTAAGCACAAGTCTATAATGTTGAAATTGTATGAAGGAATGGGTAGCTTCAGTATACTTCCAAATGGGTACTTAGTATATAGGTCTTAATTAGGTATAACTTGTAAATTTAGTTAAAAGCAAAACTCAAAGCCTTTGACAATGAAGTCCACACAAGCTTAGGATTTAGGAGCAGGTGCATATTGGTAGATTGCACTCTTTTTCTTCAGGATGTGTAATACAATATGATTTTTGGATATAATGGAACATTTGGCCATAAATACATCACAATAAAGGATGGGTTAACCTGAGGTTGCTTTAATCAAACAGAAGGAAGAGCAACAAGAGTTTCTTTTTTGTCGTTGGGGGAGAGGGGGTTTGCAAGTGCCCCTGTTGTTTAATTTCCTACTGGAAGCATCACATGTGTGGGGCTCTCCCCCCTTTTTTCTCTTTTCTTTAAACAGTGACCATTGCAGAGGCTGAGTGGCTGGGGTCAAAGCCTTGCCTATTGATCAGTATCCCTGCAGTCCCCAGCTCCAGCATCTGCTTCATTGGCTTCTTTCAGTGCCTGCTTCAGTACATTAGAATAGAAATCCATAACCAGAGCTGTGCTCATCCGAGCAGGGGAAGAAACTAAATTAAATGGTATAAAACAATCTTGGATCAGGAGTTTGTGCCAATTCATCTTGATCTAAGATGTCACACCGGGCTCTCTGTCTGAGCACCTGGGCTAGGAGGCAGCCATAGTGAAAATAGATGGAGCTGCGATCATTCATTTGTCAGCTAAGGAGCTCGGCAGCGGTTAGCAATTCCCTTCTGCAGAGGTCAGCTGACAGAACAATCAGTGCAACTGCAGAATGGAGCTTTCCTTTGAACTATTGTTATGGAGCATGCTTCTTCGGGGTGGATGAGGAGGGGGGAGAGGGAAGGGGAGTGGGGTGGTTTCCTTCTAGATCATTGTATTCTGAGTGAAGCAAATTAAAAATGGATCTGTTTAGGAAGACTTCAGTTGCCGCCTGCGTAGCATTTGACCAGAGTGATTAAAAATACAAATTATAGATGATTAAAATGGTTACATGTCACTTAGTGTAGATCCCATTTTCATCCTTCTTTTGTAGAAAGTGGACTATTGATTTTTTTTGTGCACGCGCCTTTCTTTCTCATTGTGAAAGATCAACCCCCACCCAGCCACCCCTATGGGTATAAGACAATCAGAGCTAGAGCCGGACTCGGAATCTGTTTCCTTAACTAACATTCTTGTGCTCTTTTTCTTTTAGAACAAAAAAGGGGCATTTCATTTGCTGCTGGTTTGGCATGTGATAGCAAAAATGTTTTTATTAATTCACATTTTGTTAATCTTCAGAGCTAGTAATTCTCCCTGAACACCAAGTGGTCTCCTCTGACTTCTCTCAGAAGAGATTTAATATCATTGTGCACTAAGAAAGGGCAAGATTTTTATCATATTACCGTATTTGGAATATATGGAAATGCAATTCCTAGTTGCTGGAGTTTGAAATATACCTCAAACACAAATATAAAAATTAATTCTAATAAATAACCACCTTGATTACTATAAACAACATGATTCACGAATACTGATACATATATGCTCATGTTTTAAAATATATACTTGGGACATTTATTGTATTCCTTTTTTCCCTTTGCATACCTGATGGATTCCTACTCCCGTTCTCCAAGTTGTATAGCATCCTGTATTCCTTGAATGCTATCATAATGCTTTTATAATGTAGTAACACCCAACAAGTGTCTTCCATGAGAATTTAAGGAAAAGGAATCACTGTTCATTATGGAGTCCCTGGTGGCACAATGGGTTAAACCTTTGTACCGACAGGACTGAGGACCGACAAGTCAGAGGTTCGAATCAAGGGAGAGTGTGCATGAGCTCCCTCTGTCAGCTCCAGCGCCCCATGTGGGGACATGAGAGAAGCCTCCCACAAGGATGGCAAAACATCAATAACATCTGGGCATCTTCTGGGCAACGTCATTGCAGACGGCCAATTCTCTCACACCAGAAGTGACTTGAAGTCTCTCAAGCCACTCCTGACATGAAAAAAAAACCCTGTTCATTATCTTGTGTGCCTTTGGTCCAAGTTTAGTCTACCTTTGGGAAGGAAACCTAATACAAGATAGAGGAAAACTTCTAGTTTAATAATTGTTTATTATCTCTTATTGCAAGTAGTTTCTTCTCAGGACTGATGGCCACCCAACTTTTTGGAAGTTGGTATATCCTCATGGACACACTTTTTAATATTATTTTTGTAGCATGGCTTTTTTACACTGCTATTTCACATGGATGCTATCATACTAGTATTGTATTAACTGCTTTATTGGCACAGGAAAAACACACTATGTGTTTCACCCAAGTGGATGTTGGTTATTGGAATTACTGAGCAGAATGCAAAAGACATTCACTCAAGTAATTAGCAACAAAGATAAACTTTTCAGGGCAAGAAATCCTGAATAATGTATTAAAAATCCTTGTATGCTAAGAAGAACTTTCAGAGTTGTTGGAACCAAAATGTTAGTTCCTAAGAAAGCAAATGTAATCATTATCTTAATTTTGTTCATTTTTTCTTGTAGGTTCTTTATCTGGACTTCCACAGATGAAAAAGATATCTATGTCATATGAAGAGAGGCGAAAACAAGCTACTGCCATTGTTCTCCTCGGAGTAATTGGAGCAGAGTTTGGAGCTGAAATCGAACCTCCCAAATTACTGACCAGACCACGCAGTTCTAGCCAAATTCCTGAAGGGTTTGGTTCAACAAGTGGTGGATCCAACTATTCACTGGCCAGACACACTTGTAAGTTTCTTTCTTCTTGCCACCCACACTACCCAGTTAAACTCACTGTTTTGATGGAAATGGTGTGCTTCATAGGTTCCATAATATTATGACTTGGCTTACCTCTATATATTAACAGTGAGAGAGCTTGAGATGTTGATTTCTGTTTCATACATGTCGTCCCAGTGGGCTTCCCATATACAACTGATTTCTCACTGTCATGGGCCTTTGGTCTTATCCAGCATGACTCTTCTTCCATTCTTATGTCCTTTAATCATACTGTCATGTGCAAGGAGGACACATAAGTTTCCAACTCTTCATCCAACAGCCGCATACCTTTTATTTTAGGAGTAAGCAAACTCATTTGCCTTCTGTCACAAAGATGGATCGAGCATCTATGTTCTTGGCTTTGCTCATAGAAGGGTCCTTTTCCATGAGCTTCCCAACACCATGCAGTAGGGCCTCCCAAGATGCAGGATCTTCAGGAGGCTGAAAAGGCTGCTCTGAGAACAAGTAGGTGAGGAAATCTGTTTCTACTCACCTAGTTGTGAGGGCTTAAATCACCATCTGACATATTGTTGACATCAATTTTTGAACTAGAAATTAACATCTATGTGTTTTTGGTTCAGTTCTCATAGTCTTCAGGTTCACCTTTCTGGGGAAAAATCTATATGCTCTTTTTATGTTTTGTAAACTTTATCTCAACCCCAGAGGTCAACATGCATTTCTTTCACTGGAATTTCAGAAACTAGGGCATTTTTTCCCCTTTGGGGTAAGATATTTTTTATTAGGATTATCTTCACTGTGTAAAATCATTTTGAGAAACTGGATTCAGATATTTGATTTGCTCAGAGGTGAATGCCATGCTTATCCATAAGAGGAGCTTTATAATTAGAACTGAACAGACTTTTTTTTGAGTTTTTAGTTTTAAGTCCTCTCTTCATGGTGACAGCACACAAAGGACAGTTTGACAATAAGGTTACTTATTCTTAATTGCAGTTCTGTGAGAGATTGGGTGATGCCTCTCTCAAATCCCATCTTTTACCCCATTCCTTTTTCCTTTGAGTGTTGCTTCATTAGAAGGAAGATCATAGGCTCTTTCATATACAACTGCAAACGTATGATACCACAAGGCCCTTTGGGATTGCAAATATTGGCTTCTCTGTATCGCAGTGCTTGAAACTGTCCATGCTCATTCTGTAAACAACAAAGAATGGAATTCTTAACTTTACTTCTGAGTACTCCTAAAAATATAAATTGACATTTGGAGCTATCGTTGAAAATTGTTTTAAAATCAGCAACTTGCCTTGATCAAAGCCATAAGTAAAAATTAAAGTGGGTTCATGTGACTGCTCTGTCCACCATTTTTCTACCCATTATTAATTTGTGTATAGCTCATAGAAGTTACTAAACACATAAGTGTCCAAACCAGGGGGTGGCGAGCAGTAGGGGCAGTGGGGCAAGCAGGTGGGGGGGGGGGGGGGAGGTGTGACAGCACATGTTCCAGGAGAGAGGGTGCTTTGTGTATCTTCTGCCACTTGTGCAATAGATTCCTATGGAATCCTTCCTCATTTTTTTTGTCGTGTCAGGAGTGACTTGAAAAACTGCAAGTTGCTTCTGGTGTGAGAGAATTGGCCGTCTGCAAGGACGTTGCCCAGGGGACACCCGGATGTTTTGATGTTTTATCATCCTTGTGGGAGGCTTCTCTCATGTCCCCGCATGAGGAGCTGGAGCTGATAGAGGGAGCTCATCCGCGCTCTCTCCGGATTCGAACCTGCGACCTGTCGGTCTTCAGTCCTGCCAGCACAGGGGTTTAACCCACTGCGCCACCAGGGGCTCCCATCCTTCCTCATGAAACACTTCTGTATTTGCTTCCATAACTTGAATGTCCTGTGTTATAATATAGATTGCTGTGAACTTTTCTAACATTTTCTGATCTCTTAATGAGATGTTTAAGTATATTGATTACCTTTTGCTAACTATGCTTTCAAAGTAATTTGAAAAACTAATTAAAATATACATATTGTATTAATTGACATAACATTGCTCCAGTGGAGATTTTTAGGTAAAATATCTAACAGCTTAGGAGCTAGGGAGGTCTTGGCACAAGTGAGCCTTCCGAGAGATGGTTGAACTTACGGAAATAAGACAATGTACCTTTCAAGTGCCGGTCAGTACATCTAAATGAATACGGAATAGAGGTCGCAGCTTACATGGTTAAAGATTTTTCCCAATTTTTTTGAATAAGAATATATGTGATTTGTGGTGGTTAACTCCCTATTGTATTATTAAGTATAACTGTTTATATCCATCTATATGATATATTTGTATTTGTATATTATTTTTGCACCTCTTGTCTGTCTGGAAAACTGTAAACTTATACCTTTTGTAGTCAGTTTTAAAAACTATAGTGGTGATAAGTGGAAAGTAGGCTTTTGTTAACCAGATTCATCCTGAGGGACAAAAAGGATCTTTTTCATATGACAAAGGGTTTCATCACACTAGAGAATGAATCCACTTTAAATATGGTTACTGCCCCCTGCAGAATTCTGGGGTTTGTAGTTTAGGGAGGAGGCTGTTAAAGGCTCATCCCTAAATTCTGCAGGAGGCAGCAACCAGATTTAAAGTGGAGTCATACTCTAGTGTAATGAAGTAGTGAGTTATAACATTTCAGTGTTTCTCAGAAGGCCTTTTGCAGTTTCATAGCAGATGAAGTCTCAAAAAACAGAATTGCCAAAAGGCAGTCAATGGATTCTACAGCCTTTCACAATTTATCAAGCACCATTGTGGCTTATCTTCACTTTGAAATTTTTTTCATGCCAAAAGAATTTTCATAGTCACCCCCATAAAATGAAATCTTGGCATAGCATTGAGAAGCCTACACTGAGAACATACACTTTTTATGTGCAGTATTTTGTATGTGATGTGGGCACTGCCTACAGTCTTGAAGGGATGCACCCCAAAGACTTCAGAATAACAGAGGGCAATGGTAGAGAAGTACTGTTTTTGTTCTTATGTGCCTTCAAATCCTTTCTGACTTAAGGGGCTTTGCCTTCCTCTGAGGCTCCCGAAGTAACCTATTGGGTTTCCATGGTTAAGCAGGGTTTTGAAGCCTGATCTCCAGAGGCTACCAGAAAATGAAGGTTTCTGCCAGTTCTGCTTGCTACATCAGATAACCCAAAGAAGTACACTTATGCTTTCAGTGTCAACTCTTTTTTTTGTCTGGTGTCCTTGGATTTATGGTTTATTTTTCACTCATGAATGTATCTAAGGCATGTTCTGTCTGCAAAAGAAGAATAGGAAGGGAAGCATTGTAATGCTCTGAACATGCATCAGTATGAAAGACTGACTTTAAGGTATCACAAATATCATGAACAATAACAAATCTTGTGACTTTAACCTGAGACCGATCCCCTTCCCATATCATTAAGTCAAGTTATTGTGTCTAATTTTGGCTTTGTATAGTTTTTGTTTGTTGACACAGATAGAAAGGAATAGATAGGAAGAAGCTCCTGTTCTGTGAACACTAAAAACCAGTAGGTATAATATGCTCCTGATAGATCTTTTGGCACATGATGTTGTTCTCTAGCTGCAGCTCAATAGATTTGGTTCTGTATGTTATTTTTAAGGAAACCATCTAAAATGCAACAAATTCAAACTCAGTATTTCTATCTAGTATGGCAGAAGCTCTCCATGACCTCTAAAACATATTTCCAGTTCTCCCACCCAGTCCACCACAGGTTTTCTCTCCTAGCCCACCCTCTGAGAACCAAATGTAAACTACATGTAAACTAAATTATGCATTCTTTGGGGGAAATGGGAATCTTTAAAAAACATAAACGTAAGACAAATGAAGATGTCATTCAATATAAATGCAGTGTTGCTATGCGTTTTAAAATTCCTGATCTAAAATTATTGGATGGGGGCAGGGGGGTGGTTGAGAGAAAGAGAGAATGTAATTCAAAATACTTTTTTTGTGCTTCAGCAACATAGTTTGCATAACAGTTACAGCTACCTTATTTTGATAAACAAGTATCTCATTAATTCAAAAGAGTAACATGTAAAAGTCTATCACATGATTTCCTCCTGTGGTGTGTAATGCCAATTAATTGTGATATTTCTACTCTGTAAAGGAGGATGTGATTCTTTAGGAATTCACACAGTGACCTTGTCTGACATCTCACATTAATCTCTGTTGACCTTACAAATGGTTCATGAGATATTTAATTATAAAATGCCACGTAAAGAATTTCTCATTACAGATTCACCACATCACACCTAAATAGGAGCTAATACTATGTTTATAAAGTTAATGGGCTGATAAATCTGTATGAGTCTTCTGTCCTGAATATGAAAATACTTGGTTCAGTCATTAAAGCAGTGTATTTTTCAAACTCTCTGCCATCAACAGAGCCATTAACGATATGCATTTTGCACTTCAACTCAGTCAATGTCGTGTCTTAAATATATTACCAGGTAGTGTGGATGTTGAGCTTTTTATGAATACTCCATTTGTATTTTTTGATCTGCCTCAATAATCCACATGACCATTTAAAATGCAAAACCCAGAAAACCAAACCTCTTCGACATTACAGGATTAACCTTGGGAGTTCTGCCCAAACCCAGATAATATGACACTGTGGGCACTGGGAAGATCTGTACACAGCTTTGCCTCATTCATCTCCCAATCACAACTCAATGCTTCAATAAACACTGAGATGACAGGGGACCAAGTCAAATGGAAAGAGGATTTGGTATTGACATCATCCTACTGAGGGCATTGAGCTTGAGGGCAGTAACAAGCCAAAGGACCTTCATGAAAGACAGACACAGTTGGCTGCTGGGAAGTTAGGGTGGCAAATAATCACGATGTGCCAATGCCTCATAATGCACTTATATAATGGGGCATTGTGATAAAGATGAGGGATTCCATGAAAAGTTTCCACTTTGGGAAACAACCCTTGTTTGTCACATATTTCATCTTCAGTTTCATCCCTGAAACTAGGTGTACCTTCCTATGT